CTAGTGGTTCGAAAGCATGCAAAATGCAAAAATGCGAGTAGATAAATAGGTACCACAACGGTGGGAAGGTCACGGTGTTCTGTGTCTAGTTGTGCTGGCCACGTGACCATGGAAGATTGTCTTCGGACAAACGCTGGCAATATGGCTTGGAAACGGAGATGAGCACCGCCCTCTAGAGTCGGACACGACTGGACAAATTGTCAAGGGGAATCTTTACCTTTACCTTATGTGGGTTTTTACAGTGCATAAGAGTTGGGATAATCTATGAATTACACATAAGGGCCGGCGTTAGAGAGGAATAATTGGGCTGTGTAGTGTTCTGGTCTATTCCATTGTATGCTAAGCCAGAGGACTTCACTCCAAAGGATTACATTCTGTCTAATTAGAAACAAATGTTAAATTGTCTGCCTTGCTTAGCAGGACATAGGTGAAATGGACAAAAAATTGAAGCAGGATGGAGGAACCCTGTTTCGGCATGGAAAGGACACACTGTGACTATGGACAGGATCAAAGGTATGGCTCATGGTCAGGCTAAAGTGGGTGACACAATACAGTATATAATTCTTTTTGCTGTGCATATTTCCTCTTACAAATCATACAAACTACAATTTTTTTAGATGTTCACTTGCTTGGTTACTTTTAGGCTTTATTAGTTTTGACCCAGGAAAGTCAATGACATACATCAGAATCTTAAATGGTGAACCATCAAGTTGATGAAAAGATGACTTTTATTCTATGTGCCTCAAAATGAGATATATTGGATATGATAATGATAATGGTAATGATAATGATGATGATGATGACGACGATGGCAATGATAGAACCTAATAGACCTCTGCTATAAGCTAAGGGCTTTTGCAGATAACATAGTCTTTACACTGGAAGAACCTTTAAATGGAATAGAGATAATTATTGTTTTGAGCCACCCATAGACCTTTGGGAAGAGTGGGCGGCATATAAGTTGAATAAATAAATAAAATAATAAATCAAGTATGTAACAACAACAACAACAACAACAACAACAACAACAAAGACAATGATAGAACCTAATAAATCAAGTATGGAAGTTGTGTAAAACTCCTGGTATTCTGTCTTCCCAATAGGTCTGAATCCAGTCAAAGGTATCACCTTACTGATTTTGCATCCCTCAAAGACAATAACAACCTATAACTTTTTTAAAAAGGTCTTTTTAATTAAAGGATTTAAACTAACAAGGATGCACCTATGTACCTTCCCCTTATCTTTCAGATAAAGACCTCTTGGGGTAAGCCTGACAAATCCTTATCTGAAAGATAAAGGATCCCAGTATGATGGCCCTTATCGCTTAATTAAATCCTAGAACAATGTACAATGCAGTCAATAATTGGTTATTCAAGATAGCTCCTCAAAAATTGTGTCTTATATAGGATGATGCACCTCTGTTGGTTCTCTTCTAGCGTAGGGTGGAAGGGGATGGGTTACTCACCTTGTACGTAGAAACGAAGAAATTAATTAAAAGCATGGTGTGAAGCTTAATGTGGAGAATGGCTGATAAATGAATCTGATGGCTTGACAAGATAATCAGAGGAGTCTAGGAGGAAGCTGGTATAAATCTAGCTTAGGCCCAAAGAGGCCAAGGCTCCCCTTTCTCTGCTACCACAGAGAAATCAACGGCATTAGAAACCATTTAAAAACTGGGTGGAAGAAGATAAAAATATAAAGCAAGGGATGCAACTATTTTTTTAAAAAGTGTGGACATAAATTCTTCTCCTACTGTGAGGTTTCTAACTCTATCCTTTGTAGAATTTAATGGTGTTAATGCATTTATTTGACTCTAATGTTGTTGTTTTTCGGTTGGGATTTGTTTTGTTTGATTTTATACTAAAATTTGATTTTACTTCTTTTTATTCTTTTATGAAGTTTGTCAGCTGCCTTGAGCACTATTTTGTTTTGATGGAAAGACAAGGTTCCAGTGAAATGGGAGAAAAAAAATACATATGTAAAAAAAGAAAGTCTTCCTCCATGTGGATCCCAGACAGCAGAATGCATGCCTTTCACAGTTGTGATCAGTTTCCACTCTGATTGCTTTCAAGAAAAGTATTTAAAAATGCATGTTTTAAAAATTGGTATATGTTTGACTGGAACTCAGAATCGATTTGGGGTGGTGGACTGATTAAGATTATCCGCCCCATGAGGCTGATAGAGCCTACTGGTTTCCTGGCGGCTCTTGGGGTGTTTCCTGTTGCCTTGGTAGGTGATTCTGTTGAAGTCCGGGTTGATCTCTGGAATGGGGAAATGGCCAGGGCTGTTGACACAATTGCTCCTAAGCATCCTGTCCCAGAAAGTAGAGTCAAACTAGCCCCTCAGTTCACTGGGTAGCTGGTGGTGATGAAAGAAGTGGGACACAGAGTAGAAAGATGATGGCAGAAAACCTGGAGTGAATTCAATCCAACACAAACTAGGGCCCATTGGAAGGTCTATTCCATGGCAATGGCGGCGGCGAATAAGTCATTCTTCTCTGCCACCGTTGCGTCTGCACAGAATTGTCTGGCGGAGCTCTTTCAAGTGGTCAAGGGCCTCATAAATGATATCTAAAATTTATTCCCTTAAAATAATTGGAAATACAATGCAATATTTTTCCTCTATTAGCCCACTAGACTCACAACTGTCCTTAGACACCAAACTCTGGTCTAATATTTCCATAACCATTCCAATTAGTAAGCCAATAATATCTTGGTCATTTATTTTGATTAGATTTTGTGCTACAGTTGTCTTTCTTCTGACACTGACTGACAGGCTTCTACAACTGCGACGTAGGCTGTTACAGTGTCTCTGTGCCCATAGTGACCCTTCTGTGGTACTGAGTTTATCATGAGGATGTCTGGAATAATCATGGAAGAAATTGAGCACATGGAATGTTTCACATAAGTTTCACTGGAAGACGCTGGCTTATTATTGTTGCTTGGTCTACTGATCCTTTCCATTAATTGGTCGTTTAGTTGTTTAGTCATGTCCGACTCTTCGTGACTACATGGACCAGAGCATGCCAGGTCCTCCTGTCTTCCTCTGCCTCCTGGAGTTGTGTCAAATTCATTTTGGTTGCTTCGATAACACTGTCCAACCATCTCATCCTCTGTTGTCCCCTTCTCCTCTTGCCCTCACACTTTCCTAACATCAAGGTCTTTTCCAAGGAGTCTTCTCTTCTCATGAGATGGCCAAAATATTGGCGCCTCAGTTTCAGGATCTGTCCTTCCAGTGAGCACTCAGGGTTGATTTCCTTCAGAATGGATAGGCTTGTTCTCTTTGCAGTCCAGGGGACTCTCAAGAGCCTCCTCCAGCACCACATTAATTAGAGTAGCAAAAAATCTGTGACCAGTTGTTAGTTTATATAAACTTAGTACATATATTTCCAAATTCTCACGTATATTTACACTTGCCAGGCAATCATTCCCAATCTGTGCATACTGTCTATTTTTATCTATAACTGTCCAAGAGCAAAAGGCAACGGGTTTCCACTCCTTCTCCTATCCCATATTTATTAGTGTTTGCCTCTTAAAATTTCAATAATATGAGCATCTGAGATTGTCCCATCTACATGTTGAATGCAGTTTCTTCTTCTGTTTCCTGGAGACCAGCAGTATTTCCCCCAAAGGAATTCATACAAAGACTTTAATAAAGTAGATAAATTTTGTACATCTTCATCCATGTAGTTTACCAAACATACAATCCAATCCAAAACTTGAAGATATCTGAGCTGTGCAGGGTCTGGAATAGTCAGAAGCCTCTTGTGGTGGGTGATCTCGGCTGCCTTGACTGAGATCAGCTAGAAGAACAGCCAAAGAAAAGGGCAGAGAAG